CAGTCGGTATCACTCATTCGTCGACTCTTTCCTTGTCCTCCGAACACACCGCTCGTACCGCCATCCTTACATGGGCTGGGCGAAAATGGCGTTTGCGCAGCACTGTGCCTTCGATAAGTGAACGTCCTAAGTAAGCCAGTCTTGTATTTCTTTATTTAGAAGTACCTTACAGGTCGGACGATAGTTATAGCGCGAGAACAAAACGACGACACAGAGACAAGAAGGACACGAAAGGCGCTCGTGTCTTTCGTGTCCTTCTTGTCTCTGTGTCGTCGTTTTGTTCTCGCGCTATAACTATCGTCATGCCATACCAACTAGCCCAAGCTGCCACACTTCTACCTTACAGGTCCCGTGGGGAGCATTGGGTTAAGGGGAGCATCACAAAATATGAAAATAACCAAAGAAAGCAAATACATGAGTTCAAAAAAAAGCGTATACAATAATCACGCGCTGGCAATGCAATGTAAGAAATATAATTAGGTGACAATAAATACTAAGAATGCTCAAAAAAATTAAAGAGTAAATACTATGAATTGTTACAAAAGGAGCGGTGCAATGCTCACGAGGAGCGGGATGAAACTGGTGCTCGCGCACCTATTTGCCTTGGGCACAATGCGTAATTCCGTGCCCTTAAGTACACCAGGAGCCGACTGCTACGATGTATAACCCTGCCGATGACGATCGCCTAATACCTTCGCTGACTGCCTGCAGCCTCAAGCAGTAGTTGTCCCGTTTCTCAGAGCTCATTTGGTGTCGAAATCACACGGGCCATCGACTTTTCGCTGTTCTTACATAACACATCCGTCCAGTGCCCATCAAATTAGACACCGGCGCTTTCTGTGCCAGATTGTTAACCACGGCCAGCCGTCAGACGCCTATCTCGACAGCCGCGGTCAGGTCCAAGTTCCGCAAGCGCGTCTCAGTGTCACGGGACTCTCCTAGCTATACGCCGTGAATAAGGCTCATCTCGTGCGCGGCTATGTATAACCTTGCTTCCTGGGTCGCTTGGGACAGGAAACCCCAGTCCCTGCCAGCGTCTATTTAGGTGCCCCTGTCAGCATGGCCTTGCGTCACGTATTGCACCTCCACATGGGCATGAGCACGTGCAACATTTTTTTTTCTTATGTAAGACGTGTTTCCAAGAACTTGGAAAGCAGAGTTGAAGGCATCACATGCTGGGCTTCAAGCTTGCCATCACGTGTTCTTCAGGGAATGCTGATTTCTTAGTTACGTAAGATGGCTTCGTTGCAACCGTTTTGACATGGGGCTGTTTTCCTTCTTGCTTTGCACACGGCACTACATTGCAGGCAAGGGAAGCAACGTTAACGTAATTGCGGCTCTGCAGTGTAATCTAAGGTGTATGCCACATTTTGTCTTCTCAAGACGGTGTGAGTGAGGGTATGCCTATACAGTGAACTTTTACACTGACTTTTCTCCTTTTAATCTATTAGCATTACAGTAGCACAGTGACAATAGTACGACGTGGTTTGCCGTACTGTTGGTTTCTACGTTGCAGTAGGACTTGCAAGAACACTTTGCGTGCATCTTTCTTGGGGTGGGACTGCTGCAAGAATTACAACGCTTAAAGTTCACGCTCTTCGTGGCACCACACCCGAAGTTGGTCTGACGGTTGTATGACATCGACATTTTCGCCAAGAAACGGTTCACTTTAGTTTTGGAGGTCTCCGAAGTAAATATGGACGATCACTGATAGCAACACAAAATGCTATAGAGATGTGAACAATAAGGACCAATTGATGAAGTTTAGTTCTCTGCGAGAGCCGCCTAAGTTTGTAAGGATTTTATTCCTGAATCGATCCGAGAGTATCTTCCATGGCTCACAATAAGCTTTTGCCGATTTAGGAGTGAGTAACGAAATTATTCAAGGGAAGGAGGGGGGGGGGGGAGGAGTGGAAGTTCAGGCTATGTATGCTGCCAGGGCGTGCATCTCAATGCTGTCCTCGGCTCCTGCCAGGACCTCTGTCTGGACATCTCGGTCTGTGCTGAGAAGGACATCACGTTTTGCTCCTCAGTGTTCGGGTGGCAAGACGTGGGCGGTTGGAGGGAGATCCTTCGGGCAAGCCCAGAGGATGTGGTTGAGTGGGGTAAGCTTCTGTTAGACAACCCCGCCCTCGTGCCATTTCACCAACCCGGGTCTTGCGTGTGCCGTTCATACGGTTGGATATAACGTTCACATGGTAGCCGTTTGCAGTATTGCGTTTCATTGGGCTTACTGGCGAGTAATGCCGTGCCCTGTCGCAGACTGGATGTCCAGTAATATGCGTGCCTTTCTTCGGGCGTGGTACCTTCGTGACCCAGTATCCGCTGGAACAGGTTGCAACGGCATCATACTCTTGGGGTTAAATGAGTCGCTGGTGGTTCGCTAGTCCGTTGTGTGAGAAAGGACGTTTAACCTTTTTCTTCGAGCCGGCACGCTGATTGACGTTTAGTGAACGCACCTGCAGAAATACATACCCGTGAATACATAGTCCCAGCTTTTCTATCACGTCATAGAGGTTCAGTCGAAGCTGCAATGTGGCAAAAGGTTCACACCCGTATTCTCGCCTTGAAATTTCTTGTCATATTTCATAAAGGTGGACGTGTGCGACTGGCCCGCAGATTTGGTAACAGCTGCCCCTACGGTCGTCCAAGTTACTCATCGTACAAGCCGCCGATTTGAACGAATCGAGTGCACTAACCCATGTACGAAACAGAGCGTAAGGCTTCATGGAAACAGCTCGGTGCCGCAGAACCTGTCGACTACACATTTCTGGATGTGAGGCGAAGGCTCCGCTGGTCGTGAAGATGCAGTCAGTTGGCAGGCGCGTCTTTCAGATTTGCTTAGAGCTCCTTGGATTTAATACGCAGAGGCACCGTCATCGCGGCAGTTCAACCGGCATGACAGCGTGTGAGCACATCAGTACATCTTCGTGACTTCCAGCATGTTTGCCATGTTTTTTGTAGCTAAACGACGGCGTACGTGAACCAACTATCAGCGTATAGCTAAACAGCATGTAGTCACATTCCCCGTGGGTCGCATGTGGCGTCCTATGGATTGACGAGTCATTGCATGTGGATACATAGGTTGATGTGGCCTCGCGGTACGCGTCAACTCTTCGACCCCACATTGTCGTGAAGATCTGTACAGTAACCAGATCTCGGGCTATACTCACGGTAACAACGCTGGAGCTACCTGTGTCTTATTGGGACGTTCAAGCAGGTTGCCGGAAGTCTGGTAGATACAAAACTCTATTTTTTTTTGGGGGGGGGGGGGGTTAATGTGTGTCTGGAAAACTGGTACATGCAATGCACTCTGTGCACTGATAAAGGCAAGCACAGCCGTCAGCTATCGGTAATCTTATCACCGCGGAACGCGCCCTCTTTTCACTCATCAGCGATCGAGCCTCCTGGCGTTAAAGCCGGTGCAACTCTATGCCTGCAATCCTATGTGTCGCTGCTCCCTTCCCTATTTCCGCATACGTCGCCACGTTGCCGAAACCTCGTATACCGTCTTGTACCTGGAATGCCGCGCCGCTGACTCAATAGAGCCCTACGCGTTCTCTACCGCTACGCGTCCACCAACGTTCCAGCGACGACACATTCCACGTCGTCCTTGTTTCACGCCGTCTACCCACAGCTGACACGCCGTCGCCTTCTGACGCCTCCCACCTCTTGTCGGCGCCCCGAGGAAGGGCGCCCCGCGGGGGCTCGTCTCCGCTTCCTGTGACGTTCAACTCCGCGCCTCCCTTTTGGCGCCGCGCCCGCGATAGAATCTTTCCCTGGAATGCGCGCTTTGCGACTGCTTAAGCGGTAGCAGCTGCGCCTCCCTCCAGCACGCGCTCGCGCGCCTGGTGTAAACATATTTAACGGCGCAGACCGGTGCGCACCGGCTTGTCCCGCTTTAGAAGGCCGCGCAGGACTCGTGACCGTGTTTCAAATCGCCCAGCGCGCGCTTGCTCACGTGACCCAGTGCCCACGCCTTCACCGGGCTGTGAGCGCGAGGCGCGGCTCTCAATCGGGCCGGGCCTGTCGCAATCGCGTCAACTGCGTTGTTCTGAGCGTTAAACCCTTCTGCGCAGCTCTGCTTTCTTTCTTTTGCAAGATTTAGCGAAGGCAGGAGGCCCCCGTTTCCGGAGTACGGCTCTCTTTAGCCATCCTCCAGCAAATATTCAGTCAGCTGATCGTGTTGCCGGGCTTCAGCTGGTGGTGAAGTGTCATTGGCCTTCTCAATGTGCTCGTGCCAGAAGAACTTGGGCGCGTTGCGTTGGGCTAAATTTAAGCTGAGACTCATTCGTCCTTCAGCCGGACCTTGGGCTCGCGCTTTTGTGTCCGCGGCTGAATCCTTGAATGCACTCAACTTTTGTTATGGGGGTACGCCCGAAGCATCGCTGTCACCCGAAGTATTACTGTGAGCTGCAGATCGTTCTTTTATGTCGGCTCTTTCAGTTTTTGTTAGCCAATGCAAGTAGCTTATCCGTGACTACGTCTCTGTGATACTCGCCACTTCTGCAAATATTAAACGTTACGTTTACACATCTTCATCCCTTCATATACATAATGATCCCCTAGCATTACCGTACTCCAACTACCCACTCAACACATTTTTCCGATTATGTTACCAGTTAGACAACCGCCGCGATGTACGTCCCTCAGTATATAATTCTACCTCGCTGCACAATCACTCCTAGAGCTCCTGTGGTAACTTACCTGCTGGTTTTAGTCAACGAAAGCATCTTTGACAAACACGATACTGGGTCTTCATTTCACTAGCCGTGCAATATGATATGCCAGTTACCGTTTTGACTGCCTTTTCTAGTAACAACCCTCCGAATGTCCACTGGTACAATTTCATTAAAGGGGCGCTGAGAAATCGACTAGTTCACTTTCCGAATGTATTACGTAATTATTTTACGTTGTATTCAGAAATGACTCAATAGGCTTGACTCTCAGCAAGGCATCTGTGCGGCTGCTAACATTTCTCGTTCTCTTTTTCTGTGCAGGAAACCGAAGTGCCTCAGGTCGACAAGCCTGCGGAGAAGATTGAGGCCGCCGCCAAGGAGGTCATCACCAACGGCACGGCCGATGTTCCTGAGGTCAAGCCAGTTCCCAACGGCACAGCCGAGCCCGTAGCCGAGAAGATCGCGGAACCAGTCGCGCCACAGGAACCCGCAGCCCCTGCCGCCGAGGAAGCTAAGCCTGCCTCGGAAGTCAAGCCTGCCGAGGAACCAAAGCCAGTCGCCGAGACCGCTCCTGCTCCAGAACCTGCGGCCGCGCCAGCTCCCGTCGAACAGAAGCCCGAAGAGCTCAAACAACCTGAACCTGAACCCACCCCTAAGGTAGAGGAACTGCCCGCAGTGGTGGAACAGGCTAAGCCTGCCGAAGAGGAAGTCAAGGTAACCGAGGAGGCACCCATGGTGGAACCCGTGCCAGCGGCGGCCGTCGAACCGGCCAAGGAAGAACCCGCATCAGCACCTGAAGTCCCCGCCGCAGAAGCTCCTGTGGTTGCACCAGCAGAAGCCACGGTTGAAGAGAAGCCAGCTGAATCAGCAGCTCCCACCGTTCAGGTCGTCTCTCCGCTTGTGGATGGCGGGTACCTCGAGCCTCAGCCATCGGAGATCGTGATCGAAAAGGCCTTAGCCGAGGCCGAGCAGCAGGCGCTGGCGCCTGTCGCTCCTGCCCCGGTCGAAGAGGCCAAACCGGCCGAAACACAGCAGCCCGCAGCAGAACCCGAGGAGTCCAAGGACCTTGACCTCCCTCCCGTCACGGAGCTGCCCGCCGTAGAACAGCCAGCAGTGGTACCCGCGACCGATGCCGCTGCCACGGAATCCCCATCCGCTCAAGAGCTGGAAACTAAACCCGAGGACAAGGCACCCGAGATCGCCAGCCCCGTCGCAGAGCCTCCGGCTGAACCCGCTGCTCCTACGGAGACCTCCGCTGCCTCAGCCGAACAGACGAGCCCAGCTGAGTCAAGGCCTGAAGGAGAAGCAGTAAGTGCAAAGTGCCATGCTCCTTTGCAGACCATTTTGTGCTGAAGAAGCGATTTAGTTGGACAGCACATAAATACAAGTAGATAGGACGAGGTCAGGGTTCGAGCTTGGTGGTGCTCCATGATCAACCACTACTCGAGCGAAAATTTCTGGCCAAAGAAACGATTCTCTCCGTGTTTGTTTCATCCTCTGTCTATAAATGTTTGTGCAAGTAGCAGCTGAACATAGATGGGACGTGCGCATTTGTTAACACGCTTGTGCTCAGTCCGTGCAGTTTGAACTCGATTTAAAATGTCGTACTAGCTGGCCTCTAATTCACTTTAGTAGACTAACTGACGAACACTTGTTTACGGAATATCTTTTTAGAACTAAAGTTTCAACTCGCAATATTTCTCATTGGTCATTTGCAGTCTATAGACATTGGCTAGTACAACTAGGCGTTCCATTGTTCAAATGTTAGAACAAGAGCTCGTAAACGACTGTTTTTGTTTAAATAATGGTTGGGTGTTCTCCTACCCTTATGTATGTAGGATTGCTCAAACATCACTCAAATAACCATCTTCTTAAGGTTAGGGGCTGAAATAATCTCCCTTAATCGACTCAATCGTAGTGGTTATGGAGTTATGGCTCCGAGATGTCCCTTGAAGTAAGTTGGGAGCGAGCGTAGAATTTTTGTTAAAGTGCCGTGCTGTCAAGTCACCAACGCGCACTGATGGGTTCAGGATGTAGGAATTTCATCTTTAAATACAGATTGGTGGAATCTGGAATACTGGAGTAGAACATTCTGTGCCATCAAGCAGTCAACGTCGATGTTCAGGGTGGAGACTACTGTGTTCATTAAGCTGGTCTGACGAAGGTCCAAATTCTAATCGGACATCAAAGAGGAAGTTCAAGCTCTCGGAGCATCGTACTGATGTGTACGAAAGCACCAGTGCCTTGAAGGAACATCTTATAGAGCCAGATTATTGTGCTGGGGAACATTCTCGCATGATCTGCAGCCGTTTGTTCTTTCACTGCGTATACCGCGCATTGAAATGAAACCCGAACAGCGGCAAGACTTTGTGATGGTATAGGGCGCACCGTCCACTTAACAGCATGGGCAGGCATGCATATATGTGCAGAGCTGCCGAACAGGATGCGCACGCCTGTCAATCGTGATAACTGGATGGCGCGCACTATACCATCGCAAAGGCTTTCCGCGGTTTGGGTTTCATTTGATGCAGATAGTAACCGCAAACACTGCGGTTTGAATATGAGGCACTCTTTACTCGATGCAGTGGTGTTGATTCATACCTGTCAAAGGTCGTCACTTATGGCAGTAAGGAGTTAGATGTTGTGACGTATGGAATGATGTGTTAGTACATATACTGTGAGTAGAAATATAAATGTGTCCATGTGAACGTTCTATGACAGTGATAACTGTTGCGAACAAACTACACATTGACAGGTTATTTGAACTGGTCTCAGTGTGCTGTGTGTCTTTTTTTGCTGATTGTTCATTTTGGGTACCATTCTTTATTTTTTTTGCTGCGGAAGTTATTGATATGGAGTAGCTGAGGTAATATGGATTTCCAACTCTCCAAAGCAAAGCAGATGCAAGACGCTTTTTTAGTGCGAGACTCTTAGCACTAAACTTCTGGGCAGGAAAGTAGTTTATTCGGTCCAGCAAAATAAAGAACAAAACAACGCTCAGAGGGAGTCTGCATGTTTACTAAACGTGTGCGGTCATTTACTGTTCAACAATAATGCACTGATAAGCCTACAGTCGGAACTACGTAAGGGGCCCGTCCAGATGACTGGCACGGCAGCCGATCGCTCCGCAAAGAAGACCGCTAATGATTCCATCCTAGAGGTGTGGCAGCTTGGGCTAGTTGGTATGAGATGACGATAGTTATAACGCCAGAACAGAATGATGACTTGGAGGCAAGGACACGAGCGCTATCCATCCTAGAGTGCGTGCTCATTGGGGCATGTATGTGGGCATGCCTCTGTAGAAGAAACGCCACATACATTTAATTCTGTTAAACGCCTCTATAACACACTTGAACAATGAAATCACCAGTACAACGCATCATCCTTAAGGTATCGGCCATACTGGGACTTTTAGATAGAAATTACTCTTATGACGGAGTACTCTAAGGCCTTAAGCACTTAGTTGCAAAGGTGTTCGACTGTTATGTGCCACTCTCTCCCCAGGCGTTCAGTGCAGTCTTATATTTTGTCGCTTTGTTCAATGTGTCTATGCATGGTGGTTGCCCAAGAAAAGACTGTTGTTGCTTTGCAAATTAACATTGTTTCTTTCTTTCTTCCTTCCTTCTTCGCAGGCACCCGCCGCCGATGCCAAAGCCGAGAGTCCGAGCTCCGAGGCTCCAAAGGTGGAGGAATGAAAGGACGGGTCATCACCCCAAGCGCGGAATCTAGAGCTCCTGAGCCCCCGCTGACCATGTTGTGGCTTTCGTTCTGTATTCACATTCTCGGGTGGGAAAGACTTCTTGTGCGGGGAAACGAATGGGCTAGGGAGGGAGAATTTTCATACCAGCAGGGTCCTCTGGCGGCTGGTGGCGTCGAGAAATTGTTGGACCTTAGTTGAGGCACGACGCTCGCAATGCGGAGTGGCTTACGGATGAGACACGTGGTAGTTCCTTGCACGAAAAAAAGTATTCGTACGGACCACAGCCTACGGAGCGGACGGCAATATGCTATAGGTCGTGCCATTATTTGGAAATGACGGAAGAAGCGAGAAGGGGGTAAGGAGTGGGGGAGACGAGTGACTTCAAATAGCTCCTGCCCAACGTGGAGCGAAAAGCTCGGCGCATATCTTGTTGCTGGCAGAAAAGCGAGGCAATTCTACGGTATGGAGCTGTATACATTTTGTTCGTCGGCTTGTGCCCGTTTTAATTTGAACGTTTCTGTCGATACATTTCTTATCGTGTCACGTGGTAGATAAGCCGGAACGCCACTAATCGCTCTCCCGCCAGTCTCCCCCCTGGATGAAGCTTCCCGTGAAAGAAGCTTTCACTGTGGTCACCACAAGGCACTCTGAATAGGTGTGGTTACCGTCGCTTAAACTCCTTTGGAGTTGGTCACCCGTTCCCTTCGATAGCTCGTTTTCGTCATTGAGTCCGCACTTTTTCATTAGTCCCGTTATTGCGGATTTATAGTGTGCCATGGTGAAGATGACGTGTGTGTTCTTTCAGTTGTTTGTATCACGTAGTTGCGTTATTCCAGTGCTCTTTTGCGCATTATTTAACCACTCTGTTTTTTTTTTCTGCGCGCACCTATCGCCATTCGTGTATCTAGGTCAGTTTGTCTGCGTGAGCTGTGGCGTGGCACTCGATGATCAAAAGGCTTGCCTCAGCCGACGAAGTTTCCTCGCGAGGAGCTGTTCCTGTTTTTTTTTTTTTTTTCGCCTTTGAAAAACAAATTCTGTACGGACAGAGGTCGCAAAGTTCTTTATGTGCCAATCCTCTCTTGCTAGCCCGAACGCGGTTGCAGGTCTTTGCGCGATTGTAGTCAGTCCATTTCGACTGCGTTCTTACGTCCCAGAACACTTTCGCCCAAAATGTGCTCGCGTGCCGAGGCTGGAAGCTGGAAAAGCGGTGTGTAGGTTTTCTTGACCAGCTGAAGTTGACCGCACTGTGCCGTTTGTTCGCTATTCCCCTTTTCATATGATGTCCATTGCCAAGAGGACGTTCTTGCCCCCAATGCGGGATGGCCGCTTGGTGATGCCACAAGTCGGGCATACTCATCGGTCGGTGCTTCTGTGTGAGGATGTCCGGTGTTTTTGAGCCATGTTCGTCAGTGTAGTCAGGATTTTTGGAACGGTTGCATTTTCTTTTGTACAACAGTAACGCGCTATCACTTTTCAATTAGCTGTAGCTGCACAGTCTCAAGCTGACCAGCAATGCGTTCTGGCTGGCGGATATAGGTTTTCATTGCCAACACTTTGGCAGCACACAGTTTACGTCTCGCGTGATAGCAGTTCCTCTCTGGCTTCAGGGTACCTTTGCTGCGAGATGCCTTGGTGCTTTCAAGACGCCCAGAACAATTCTTTTGTCTTCTTCGAGTGCGGCAGAGCTTTGACTTCTGGACACACACACACACTTATATGGGCCGGAATTTCGCTGGGCCTGTTTGTACGCGCCAGCTGGCGGTATGTCTCAGGTATCTCGTTTGTACTTTTCACAATCTCGTTGCGCCAGGGCTTCACCAAATAAGTCTGGCCGTGCGACTTCTTTCTGAGCACTATAGCGTTGTCCATGTGTTTCCCTCGTCTGGCTGCAATTTTTTTGTCGATGCCTTTTTAACGTGATTTTTTACTGTGTTTGCAGACACTTCTTTCCGCCCTCCAATGTTTATACTCTGAATAAACTTCTGATACAAACTTTTCATTTCTTGGTGTGCTGACTTTCATTGTGCCTCTTTATTCTAATATACTTTCCGATCTCAAAGGATACTTACTTGCTTACCAAGGTGGGCGAAACGGGCTTCAACCAAGGGAAGTGCAGTAGGCAAGGCATCTGCATGGATGTCCAGTCAGAGTTGTTTAAAGGTACTTGAAGCATGAAAGAAACGACGACATTAAAACGTCGCACTCTCGAAAGTTTCGGGGCTCTTCTGTAGGCTGTTCATTAACAAAAGATGTCTGACCCTTTCTCTACAGGCATGCTAGTCCAGGAGTCTGAAATCTTGAGCCTAGAGCAACACTACTAATCGAAATTACGACCCAAGAAGGACACCTCATTCTGAGGGTGGACTGAGTTGAAAATTCTCGTACTCTTGCTCAATGCCATAGGCTGTCAACTAAAAGCAGTGAATATCAGCGCTCAGATCTTGGACTCATTGCCAAGGTTTCAAAATATAACCGAGAGACCCAAACAGAACAACCTCCTAAGCCTTCCAGGCCTTCATCAGTCACGTTAACTATACGGCACCTTTCCTGAATATGGAGTAAAGGTTGGAAGGACAAACGTGATAAGCAAACTAATCGAGCAAAACCAGTCGATCTACCGCAGTCCTCTACCATGGAGGAACTCTTCCTACGTGGCCTTAATACGACTGATAAACTCCAGGTGCGGATCTCCAGGCTTTCTTTGACTAAGCCGAATAACAGTCCTTGACGTGGCAGGTATACTGCCCATGCAAGTGACCTACACCCCCTATCTAGAGAAATCGAGAAGCTAGAGCCCGAACCAAAAAAACATTCATCCCGTATGTAATGAGTGCAGGAGAAAGGCATGAGTGAGAATTGTGTAATAATTGATCTGAGTTTGTATGAGGCAACAATATCCGGCGTGTTGTGTGTATCGCAATTAATGCGGCAATTAAGCACTTCTGAAGTCTCGTGGCAATATGAAGTGATCATTTGTCATGAAACGTTGAATGTACCGGCCCGAGTGTTTTCGTGTGCGATAGGTCGCTGCTGTTTATTCATTTGATACGGATACAAGTTGCCGCGTCATCAATCCAAGATGACGGTGCTTGAGTGGTTCCGAAAGAATGCGTTTAGCTCGGCGAAAGCACAAACCGTCCTATCTACAGAAAAAACCACTACCGCAGTGGTCCTCAGCCAGGGATGTCTCGGGGACCCTTGTGTACTCTAGAAGGTAGTGAAGGACTCCTTTCAGGGAGAGAGAACAAAACGTGGGAATGGGAAGGCTCCTATAGGTTAACTCAACATTCGCCGTGAAAGTAGGTGCCATCTGTTTCTCCGCACCAACGCATGGTGAAATCGCTACACCTATTTCATCTAAACAGTTTGTCAATACGTTGTGTGGTACGCAGCCACCTTCAACCTGTTTCTACGTATGCCCTTCAGAAATGTCAGCATGGAAAAAGCGTACTTGCGTGCACATGCCGTAGAAAACTGCATGAAAATCTTTGTAGCCATCGCATGGAGGAAGGGAAAGCATTCGTTAGCTCCGCCGCAATGCAAAATTGTTATTCGATGAAGCATACCAGAAAGCAGGAGCCGCTGTCACGGGACATAATGGGTCAAAAAAGCGCGCTTATATATTTTTTTTGCGTAGGGGAGGGTGGTATCGCGGACTTTTACATATTGCTATGCGGACCCACTAAAATTCGATGACCCCATTTGATAACCACTGCCCTAGTGCGCATGTGTTGCAGAAATTGGGCCAGCCTCACTCAGAAAACAACCCTGCCCCACTAAATATGAAGTAGCGGTCCACGGGCATGTGCTGCAGAAATTGGGCAAGCCTCGGTACACGATTCTGGACCATGGCGGATGAAGTCCGCGGGTACGTGTGCAAAAATCGGGCAATCCTCGGTACGCAACACTGGCCGCGTCGCGTTCGTAACCCTGAGGCCACTCGAGGCTTTCATCCCGCAGCACCCCCAAAAAACGCCAGACAGTAACATATGCTTTAGCCGGACATTGCATAGAAAAGACGCTTCTCCGCCGCAGCGCTCAGAGAGTGTCAACACAAGTAACTTCAATACATCTCCCATTGTTTTAGGGGTGAAGCTTTTTACAGCAGCACCTGTTCATCCCTCGTAGCCGTTGTAGCTTGTAACAAGTATAACATTTTGACCTCCAAGGTGGTGCTGGTGAGAGATTTCTTCTGTGCGTCGTTGAACAATAAAAAATTGTGCTCAATGTACATGCCAATGGCTGCTAATGGGAAATTAGAGACAGGAGCATTCGGCTTTTAGTTAACGCGCACGCTGCGATCCCAATTAGCAGTCATTGACATGTACATTAAGCACTATCTGACAAGAAATGGTTGCTACGTTATACTCACTGATCATTTGTCATGAAACGTTGAATATACCGGGCCAAGTGTTTTCGTGCGCGATAGGTCACTGTTTTACAAATGTTTTAGAAATGTTTTGGAAATGTTTAGCGAGTGTTGAGCCGCAGTGCCATGAATACAATAAACTAGTATATAGCTTGAACTCGAGGTAGTTAAAGGTGGGAAGTAGACACGAAGCGCAAGCCGTAAGAAAGTAAAAACCGAATTCTCCTGTCTCTCATTTCCCATTAGCAGCCATTGGCATGTGCATTGAGCACTATCTGACAGGAAAAGGTTGCTACGTTATACTCGCTGGGCGTAACCTCCTTGGTTTTAGAAAGGTTTAGCGAGCGTTGGGCCGCAGTGCCATGAATACAGTGAACTAGTATATACCATGAACTCTTAAAGGTGGGAAGTAGACACGAAGCACAAGCCGTAAGAAAGTGTGCGTGTGCCACCTCTCGTTTAGTACTTGGAATGTCCGCTGGATGGTGGTGCTTCTATATAGGGAATATATGATGAAAAGATGCGAGATGGTGGTACTTGGAGTGTTGAATAGATGGACGAATGGACACACAATAGATGGACGAATGGACGAATGGATGGACGCAGGGGCGGATGCATGGACGAACGCAGGGACGGATGCACGAACAGACGCACGCACGGACGGGCGGATGGACGCATGAACAGACGGAAGCAAGAACGAATGGACGGACGAATGCTTTGCCCCACTCTCCATAATTCACTCCGTGGATATGCTGCCATTTTTCATATAATTTCCTCAGCTAAAGTTCCTTTGGGGGAGCTGGTGATGTTCATCTAAGCAGGAAGAAATAGGAATTACAAGGCTACAGTATCGAGTGTCCCCAACTGAAGGTTTACCTTTACAGGTCAGGTCTGGCCCAGTCAGCTTTATGCTTCCACTGTAATAAAAGCGAGTATCTTGAGTGCTTCATTTTAGCGTGCCGAATATTTAAAGTACAAAGGAAACGGCTACTAGAAGAACCTCTACAAAAGTTATGTCAGGAACAAAATTGGACAGTCCGACTCAGCATTTTGTGCGCGATGTAACGTCGTTGAAGACATCAATCATGTCCTCTGTGAGTGCACAATATACGCATCAGAGAAACAGTCTCTGAAACTGGCCTTAAACATGCAACAGGACAAAAACTTAGACTTCAAAAATATTTTATGCCCATGGCGGAACAGCTCCAGTGCGTTAGACTCCACAAAAGCGCTACTGACATTCTTACGGGCTACAGGCTTGAACAAAACGTTGTAAATAGTGCAGTGCGTGTGAGTGACTGTATGTCTTATGTGACTGTTATGCGTGTATGTAACTGTATGTGTTGTGTGTTTATCATAGTATATGTCATTGTCCTCACCCGGCACGTGGAGTAGCCTGTCAGATGAAAAACCAGGCAAACCTCTCCAGCTCCCCATTAAAATAAATCTCTCCCTTTCTCTGCAAAAGTTGAATTGGGCTTTGTGACTTTCGGTTATTCTTTCATTTGGTGCAACTATATTTGGCTTTAGCCACAGGAGTGTTTTCGGTGCTGTACGTAACTTTTTACGGGTCTAAAAGAATGGAGTGGTAGGTGTAACTTAAGCCATTTGGCCTATTTGAAAGTTTTTCTTTTTTCTGTTGATTTTAGGGCTCCAGTTTTTTATCTTTTTTCATCTGGCGAGCTTGTATTGTTAATCTGCAATGATTCAACAATTATTTTCGACCTGTCACCTAAAAAACACCAGGCCTGCGTGGAAGGCGCAGCACAGTCACAGCGAAAGGTAGAAAAGCGGCCTTTTCAGAGCCTTTTCAAAACACTCAATGGGTAACTACTGCAAGCACACTTGCTTGATACCCACTAGGGCATCAATAATAATTTTTGGGGGGTAGTAGGCCGGCATTCGCTGTGCTATTTTTCGCCATTCTACTGAGGAGCGTGGTATCCGCTAAACAACTGCAAGGAATTTTGTGCCAATCGTTCATGCAGTGGCCGACGACGATGAGGAATTATGGCTGAACTGGGTATGCGCCACAGTTAAGAGGGGAACAAGAACAAGCTTTCGTAATGGTTTGGAGCGTTGGATGGCCCACTCGTTGCGCTATTCGCATGTTGCGATGACTGGTTGTTCTTTCGCTGTTTTAAAATGTTCTTTAAGACGTATTAACTCGATTGCTTTCCTGACATCAAGCCTGCTAAGGCAAGTTTGCCAGCAAGTCACAAGCACCGGCGTCGCGCAATGGTATAATACTGGGCTGGCACTCAGCTGACCCATGAATTCGAGCCTCACTGTGTCATTGGTGCTAGCTTTTTTTTTATTTCGCGCGATGTGGTTACGGACACCGGCGGCGGCTGGCATAAAACTGCGTTTGACCCGAGGTGTGATCTCGTAACAGCTTTCGCTGTAATAATTGCAGTAGTTTTCTAAGCAAGGCACCATCAGACTGATGGCCTATCCCCCGAGTGGGTGCGCCAAGATATTGAGGAACCAACCAACCAACTTAATGAGAACAGACAATGATGCTAAGGAAATCACAGGGGATGTTATTAGTAATAAGTGCAATGTAAGAGTTTAAAATTACATGCTATTGCTAGTAATGCCTTCTGTATTTACTTTGGCGTTATTGTCCG